GCTTTTTTAGTATGGATTTCTGGTTGGAGAAGGTAAATTTTCTTGTTCGAAAGGCGGGGGGAGGGTCGTCCAAATTCCCCCTCCCCCCCTCTTGTCCCCAGGAAGCCGTCCTGGATCCGCCTATGCAGAGGAATGGAGAAAAATGTGTTTTTTCCAAGGCCACATATATGTATCTATTTTTGCTTTTTTAGTATGGATTTCATGTTGGAGAAGGTAAATTCTTATTCGAGAGGCGAGGGAAGGGTCGTCCAAATTCCCCTCCCCCTCCCTCCCTGTCCCAAGGAAGCCGTCCCGAATCCGCCTGTTTAGAAGAAAGGAGAGAAGGGGTTTTTTCCCAAGGCCACATATGTATTTATTTTTGCTTCTTTAATATGGATTTTTTCAGGTCAGAGAAGGTAAATTCTTATTCGAGAGGCGGGGGAGGTCGTCCAAATTCCCCCCACCCTCCCCTCTTGTCCCCAAGAAGCCGTCCTGAATCCGCCTATGTAGAGGAAAGGAGAGAAGGGGGGTTTTTTCCAAGGCCACATATATGTATCTATTTTTTGCTTCTTTAATGTGGATTTCAGGTTAGAGAAGGTAAATTTTCTTATTTGACTCTTCTGGGAAACACTTGTGCGCTGGACAAATTATTTTCAGGGTATTTTGTTGGATTCGTTGCAAAGAGCGGGAAGTTTGGAAGAGGTGGTCGTACCGCAACATGTCCTCGATGCCGAAAGCACTGCGGCAGCCGCTGGCTCGGCTTTAAGCTTATTTGAAAGGCAAGGACGCTATGCCGGTCTTTTGCAGCGCCTTCAGTCTCATCACAAGGACAGTCCAGCAGTTCTCAGTGCCCAGTCTTTGCTGGTTGGTTTTTATTTTCCTCAATTACTACCTGTATCATATGTTTTAGTTCCTCCCCTTCCATCTACTCCATCATTTTTATTATTTTCACGCTACTGCACTTTCTCTGCTTCTCTCTCTTTTTCTTTCACATATCCTTCTTGCAAATTAGTTACATGTCCTTTCAATACATGGCGGTTAGGAGGCTGTACTGACCATTCCCCATTCCTATCCGCATGCATAGTCCGGTCTGTGTTTACGGCGAAGGGATGAAACACAGAGAATGCATCGTAAAATATCACCTTACTACTACAGCTAAACGATGAAAGACAATTTGCGCCGTAAAATATCACCTTACACATGACGCCTGAGTACAGTCCTTCTGATCTGTTATTTGAAGAATACAGCCTCTTTCTTTTTCTTTCATATCCGTCTTGCAAATTAGTTACATGTCCTTTCAATACACGGCGGTTAGGAGGCTGTACTGACGATTCCTCACCCCTACCCGTTTTCCTTCCGTCATACCCCATTTCTGTGTGTATTTTTTCAGCCAGTAGTAAAAGAGAAGCCGCAGGTGGTGTACGGTATCCAAGTGGATAACAGCAACTCGGTGTTCAAGCCAAAGCTAAGGGAGAAACATCATGCGCAGGAAATGCAGCCTGAGAATCTGAAAATTATTGACAACGATGCAGACCCGGAGTCTGTATGGCAAAATGATCAGGATTTGAGCCCTCATCCTTACCAGCAAGAACTTATTCATTTCAAGGTCCGATTTAATTTTTTTTAATGCGTTTTGTGCTGTGTAACAGCAGTACAAAACGCATATTGTCACAGGGTTGTCTGTGTGTTTGTGTGTGTCCGCAGCAATTTGTCCGCAACTTTCAACTCGGGAATCACAAAAGCTAGGAGGCTGAAAATTTAGGGGAACGTTCCCCACCCACGTGTGACCCGCAAATTTAAATTCAGCTTCCCCGTACCCGCAGTTAACGCGTACATCCCCGTGAAAGTTTTTTACGGGTAAATTAATATCTTGGGAGCCACGGAGCCTAGGAGTCTGAAATTTTAGGGTAATGACCCCCTGCCCACGCTCAACCTTGGCCATTTAAATTCAGCGTTCCCGCGCTGTTTAGTATTTAATTATTAGGAAGAGCCGTTTATTAGAAAAGACTGCTGACTAGGCGTTTAATTTCTGAATCAACAGGGAAGATGAATTAACGTTTTCGGGGGATCTTCGAGCATTACGTAGATAACTGAAATGCAAAAGTAAATGCGATTCGATTATAGACGGAGGAGGGAACGAAGGGTCTTTCGCCCTTCCTCTCCTCCCCCCACCCCCCACCCCCTTCAGCGGCAAAGGCACTAGTGCTGCAAAAGCCCGGATCTGAAGCTAAAACTAAAGTAAACTAAAGCCTAAAATAACTCTAAACTAAAGTAAATCTAAGTAGCAATGTTTTACAACTCTGTTCCTAGTTTTTGCATAGTTCCAGGGTGAAAGGAGGCTCTCCTCCCCGTCCCGTCACCGTTCCACCCCCTTCCCTCCCCCTCATCTCTGTAGGAGTCCCCCTGGATCCGCCTACGGTTGCAATTATTATACCGTTAGTGTAAACCTATAAGGTACAGAGCAGCATGGGCCTCAAAGGTCCTGTGAGGGAATGGAAGAGGATAGTAACCAGGGCCAAGAACGGTGGCCCATTCAGCGAAGGGTATCGACCGGCAAGGGTCACACCAACCCTATAAGCTTAATTTTACTGCAGCAAATGAGTGTCAGCTCCAGAATTTTTATTATTTTCTGCTACTCGCGAACTCATATTTTTGATCTGATGGATTAATTAGTTAACCGACATTGAGCTCTCTAACTGTGCTGCTTCTGTTAAGATGTTATCACAGAGATATGAAAGACAGACTCATATACGCGATTTGGTTTTCAGATTCCTGCGAGGCAGCTTGTTTCTGGTCCAATTGCTCCACTTAAAAAACTGTCGGATACCGAACTGGTCTACGTGGATACGGCGGAAAAATTGGCCAATTTAAGGGACATCTTAAACAGTGAAAAGGAATTCA